GGGGGGGGGGGGGGGGGGGGGGGGGGGGGGGGGGGGGGGGGGGGGGGCTGGATGTGGGACTACACCATCAGAGCACAAGGTCTAGATAAGCGAAAGGGGGAGAGAGAGAGGGGGACCAGTCACTGGACCATTTGGACATTTGTTGCAGAGGTCTTCTTTTTTTCTACATATAATTGCATCCCTTTCCACAGAGGGAAAGAACAGATCAGGAGAAGAGGGAACGCCAGGTTGAGGCTGCTGTGCGGCGGGGGTTGAGGGGGTTGAGGGGGGTAGGTCGGAGGTGGTGGGAGAGAAAAATGCTGCCTTCGCAGGAAGCCTCCAAAATCTATCATGACAAATACATGCGCAACTCCAGTGCCATCGGGGTCCTGTGGGCCATCTTCACCATCTGCTTGGCCATCATCAACGTGGTGGTCTTCAACCAGCCCTACTGGATCGGGGACAGCGTCAGCACCCCGCAAGCCGGCTACTTCGGCTTGTTCCACTACTGCGTGGGCATCGGGAACTCCGACCGGGAGCTCTCATGCCAGGGCAGCTTCTCAGAGTTCGGCTCCATCCCGTCGGAAGCCTTCAAGGCGGCCTCCGTCTTCGTGCTGATGTCCATGGTGCTCATCCTCGGCTGCATCGGCTGCTTCGCCCTCTTCTTCTTCTGTAACACCGCCACGGTCTACAAGACGTGCGCCTGGATGCAGCTGTTATGCGGTAAGGATGGGAGACACTCTCAGTGTTTTTATGTTTGTTAGTTTTCGGCGGGGGCGGGGCAGTTGAATAGGGGTGTCTTACCAACACTTTTTGTTTGGGGGACACCTTGAGGAGAGGAGCATCAGTAGGGCCCCACCTCACACTTCTCTTGTGTTGGGCCACATCTTATCTCCTTGTCAGAAATAGGGACTTGTTTTTCATCAGTAGGGCAAAGATTAAAGCAAAGTCCCCAAAACATATCTGGAAGTCATGTGAGGCATTCAGGAACATCCCTTGAGAGCATGACCTGCATGCTAAACTGAAAGAGTATATCTCAGTCATCAGTCACTATTCCACTGTGTCACCAGACATTTTGTAACATGACAAGGTTTTGAAGCCTTGTCGGAGAAGATCCTGGGTCTTTAAAACAAATTCTGACATGTTCTTTTTCATCCGGCTGGTTGAAATAACGTGTCAGAGTGTAATTGTATGGAGTTATGATAATGAAATGCCTTCAGCAGCGTTGCATCAAAGATCACAGCTTCTATTTTGGTTGCCATATCTGCCTACCAGATTAGCCTGCATCATGCACAATCTGCACAAGCATTCCAGTAATGTATCCCCACTCAGCGCGTTCATTCATCCGTATGAAACTGGAACAAACTCCATGTAAAGGCTGCATTGTGTATGTAATGGTATTAGGAGGTGCAATAAGTTGTCAGATAGGCGCAGCTGAGCCGATTAGAGAGGAATAAAGTTTTTTAAATTAAAAAAACTTTTAAAAAAACATTTTTGTTTGCTTTAGACGCCTCATCTCCCTCTCTACAGTCATGGAAATGCTATATACGTACATGGATACAAGTTTCAGAATTCCCCCTGGCCTTCACCTACAAAATGTCACTCAAAGAAATACAGGTGACTCAAAATGACTACAATGAAACATAAAATGACTACAAAGAGAGACAAAACAACTACAAGGAGACGAAAAAGAGACTCAACGACAAGGGGAAAAAAAATGCTAAGAGACACAAAATGACCACACAGAGACACAAATGACCGAAAAGAGACTCAAAATGATTACAAAGAAACACCAAACAACTACGAAGAGACACAACATGACCACAAACAAACAAACAACTACAAAGAGACACAACATGACCACAAAGAAACAAAATGACTACAAAGAAAGAAAATGACTACAAAGAAACAAACAACTACAAAGAGACACAACATGAAATAAACAAACAACTACAAAGAGACACAACATGACCGCAAAGACACAAAATGACTACAAAGAAACAAACAACTACAAAGAGACACAACATGACCACAAAGACACAAAATGACTACAAAGAAACAAACAACGACGAAGTGACACAACACGACCACAAAGAAACAAACAACTACAAAGAGACACAACATGACCACAAAGAAACAAACAACTACAAAGAGACACAACATGACCATAAAAAAACACAAAACAACTACAAAGAGACACAAATTGACCACAAGAGACAAACAACTACAAAGAGACACAAAACTACTAAAGAGACACAAATCGACCACAAAAAGAGGCAAAACAATGATGAAGACTGTCTCGCTCCTATGTAGGAAAGGTGAATGTCTGTGCCCAGGGGCCCATTGTCCACATGTAGGTAAACTCAGTTGTGACAGATTGGTGGAGTAGCAGTTACCTGCATGTCTGTATTCATACAAAGGCTGGTGTTCTCCCATCACTGAGCGTTGAAAACAGATTGTATCAGTTCAGGTGGAGCCTGAAAGTGCCTCCCGCAAGCCCATCGGCATCAAAGAATCCCTCTAGCGGATTCCTAATCACACAAACCTCTAATTAACTAGACGTGATGCGGATGAAACTGGTCTCAAATGTGTTTAAAACGGTGCCGAGTGTTTATGTCAGGTGGGAGATGGTTTTCATATTAAAGATGAGGGTTGATGTGGCTTTTTGTTGAGTTTTCCCCCTGTGGCCACCATGGCACCATTGTTCTCACTGCCAGGGTGCACAGTTGTGTGTTGAGGGAGGAGGGTTAATTGTGCATTGGTCTGGAAGGGCTGACATTATATGGGAGGAGGAGGAAGCAGAGGCTCTATGAACGGACTGAGCGGGGGATGGGGAATGTAGATTTTGCTAGATTATTGCAGGCAGCAGGAGCCTGTGTGAATAGTGTGGGACCTTTAGAAATCATCAACTTTTTCCTGCACTCCCTGGCTCTGTGTGTCCTCAGAGAGAGAGGAAAGAAAACAAAGAGAGGTCAACGCAAAGAGACACATGGGCGGATTAAGAAATGATGAGGGGGAGTGAAAGTTATTTTTATAGCAGAACTGAAAAATAAGCGATAGTCGTTGGGTTAGGCACTCCTGGGTTTGTGATGGGAGCATAGCAAACGTGACACATGGAATTCCGGTGAGAAACAGCAGCTAGTGGCAATAACAATGCTAACTGAGGCTTTACACACTATTACAGTTATAAATGTCAAGTGTCCCAAAGCATCAACTAGGCGCATGGGTTAAAAGCACAGAAGACCCGCCCCACCCAAGCACAGTTAGCATAAAAAATTAAACGTAACATTAGTAGTTAGCATTTACAACCGTGATCGTAAACTCCGGCACAAATATGGCCCACCAAAACTTCTCATGTCCCCCACAGAACATTAATGAATTCAGAAACGGTGAGGAGTATGTTGTTGTTGATGACCCCTTCATACTTCAACGAAATTAATGGTGCTTTATTTTAGCATGATTTTAAAATGTCAAAACGGCAGAAAATGAGGTGTAAGCTCCACCAGCGGTCGTGGTGCTTGGTCGTGCACCTCTACATTTTTTTAATTGTTGTGACTGTCACAAATAGCTCACTGATAAAAGCACTATTGACAAGTAGGGATTATAGAAAGAAGGCCAATTCGTTTTTGAAACAGGAGGTCTTAAAATCTAAATTTGAGTAAATATTTTGCAGCCAAGTCGAAGTGTTTACAGGATAGTCAACCTTTGTTTCTTCATAATTTAATATTTGACTTGTTTCTTTACAGGACTTGTACAAAGACAAAAAAGTAGTTCATGAATATGAGATATGAGTTTACAGATAATTATAATCCCTCCTCTGCATTGTGGAGGTTGGAATATGGCGTTCTGCTGGTTACATAGTCTATGGGCATGTCCATGAGTTACACTTGTTGTCTTTTTGATTCTTCACAGTTCGTTTTGTCTGTACGCCCTCTGGCTTTGCTCAACGCAGCAAAAAGCCACAGTAGTGCTGCACGAGCCATTGGAAATAATACTTTTCAGAGGGCAGTGGTGCCGCTGTTGCATTTTGTCTGAAGGTTTGCAGCCACAATAAGCCAAGCAGTCCACATATCATCAATTGTAAAAACAAAACATAACAATACAAATAAGACAATATAAGATCTGGTTAAGAAGAACTCCCCAGCTGTTCTGTTGTAAAGAGCAGAAGCAATTAAGTCCAGATGATATAAGTGTCAGTAACAATATACTGTAGGTTGTGTCCGTATTGTGTTAAAAAAAAAACAGTAGAGAGACACAACTTCAACATTAAAACTGTCACAGAGAATGATGCATTTGAATACCAACCCCACATGATAAAACACTATATCAAAGAGTGGGAAATTCCAGTCTCTACTACTACTACAACCTATTAATGATAGAACATAGCAATGGACGTTATAGAACTACACCCAGTGCAGCTAAATGTTATTGATTGATTAATGATTACATTATGGAGAGTATAGTGACTGATTCCAGCAACTAGCCACTCGGCTGGGTGCGGGAGAAGATGGTGTTCTTTACTCGCTCCAACAAAGAGATTCCAGGCTCTTTCACTTTTGGATGAGGTTCCCGTTTAATTAGAATCATCGGTTTACAGATGATACGATATGATAGAACTTATCTTATCTCCCTCTGGTGTGTCTTGCTTGAGGTAAAAAAACGTGTGATCTCACCGTCACCCATGCATCATTCGTCGTCTGTTGCACCTGTATACCCTATATACCAATTACCTGCCACACTAATCCACACTGCCACCGGTGGTCAACCTGAGGTAGGCTCCCAATATATACAGATATAATATCCAGACCTAACTAATGGCACCTACAGAGAGTGTATTTCTGTTACATCGGTATGTAAAGGAGGACAGGCCTAGTATCCTTTATAGCAACTTATTACTTGTTTTGAAGCGGATTAAGTGAATGAAGTAAAATATTATATAAATTCATTCTGCAGTAAAAATTGTGGTGAGTTTTCTCTCCTGACTGCCACAAAGGTTTCATTTGACATTCTCTGGAGGAAGCTGAGATACCATGTAGAAGATTTCTAATGGGATTCCTCCTGTTTATTCCTCTTCTCTCCCTCGAAAAATCTTTATAAATGTACACAATTTATAAAAACACATCTCCCTTCCCTCCCCATAACCTCCTACTAACCTATCCCACTGTCATCTCCACTGACTCCTTTCTTCTCCACTTCATCGTGCATTTTATGCACGGCCCATACTTAAAGACTGTAGATCTGAAACTACAAGGTCTATTTTAATAATTTTGATGGTATAATACAGGTAAAACTTGTGAGAGACTTGTTCAGATGTGTAAAGATGTCTATATGTTACTGGTTAATAGTGAATGAAGATGGCACACAGCTCAAATTGAAAAGTTTCAGGTTCGCCTGAAAAAAAGCACTTTTATTGAACATTTCTTTTGAAATAATGCAGATTGAAGCCTAAAAATACTCCACAGTCATAGCACAACAGGTTTGTGGTCTCTCCAAGCTAATTTTACTTAGATTGAGTGAAGCAGGCCAGCATAATAGGAGGTCTGAGTACAGAATTTCAAGCCGAATTCTCATTTCTCTCTCATGCTCTATTCTAATTTTATATACTATATAACTACATATTAACTATATATTCACTTGCTTTATCACTAAGAGTGTTCAATACATCATAATAAAGCAGTTTGGCATAATTTTCCGCCATGTTCAGCTATTTTCAGATGTCATAT